ACAGAGTCAGAGACAGAGACAGAGTCAGAGACAATGACAGAGACAGAGACAGTGAGAGTGAGAGACAGACACAGACATAGATAGACAGAGACAGACAGAGACACAGACACAGACAGAGAGCGTCCACACCCGGGACTCGCTGCATGTTTCCCTGGGATCCGAACCCCCGCCTTACCGTTCCATCGACAGCCGTACATCTCCACCCTCATGCAGACGGTGCGAGGCGACTCGCTGTAGGGGATGAACCGGATCTTCCGCCCGATGATGGGAGGGTCCACGTCGCGCATGTCCGCCAGGTACTCGTTTCTGTTGCCGCGGATTTTCTGCCGGAAACAGACCAAACGTTTCTTTCTTTCTTTGTTTGTTTGTTTGTTTCTTTCTTTCTTTCTTTTTTCTTTCTTTCTTTCTTTCTTTCTTTCTTTGTTTGTTTTTTTGCATCTTTATTTGTTTGTTTGATTGTTTGAGTAAAGAGAAAAAACATTTACCAGCCAAAACACAAAATCTGAGCAAAATTTAGTGCTTAAAGTTTACAAAGAAAAGGGACATAATATTTCAAAGTACATGTACCTAAAAATAGAAATACTAAGTTATGAAGAGTCCGAAGCAGCACAATCTTCACTTGTGAAGCGTGCTGACAAAATGCGTTACTTCTCGGACCCAAGTCTTATGGAAATAGATACATCACGCTATTAGTAGGTGAAGTTTTTACAATTTATAAGTATGGAATAATAAAAGACACGTTCCAATACAAAAAGAATGTGGCATCAATAGAAAACCCTACTAATCTGACCCTATAGTGTGGACTTTTGGCGTTTGTGGATTGCGAGAAGTACCTCATTTTTTCAGCACGCTTCTCACTTTCTTTGTACAGTGCGCCTTTTCTGATAGGTTACCTAAATTTCTCATCGAACAAGACAACGTACCCATATAAAAACGCCCTATGCCTTCTTATCCCCCCCCCCCTCCACACACACAGTTCTGGTTCTCTTTTTTCTCTGTTTCTTTCTCTCTTTACGCTAATCCAGTAAAAATTTCATATCTTTAAAAAAAAATCTTTACTCCAACTTTACGAAAATTCAAATGGGTATTTCCTTGGCCTCCACACAAGGCAAAACCAAACAAACAATCACACAGACAAGCAAACAAACAAAACAAACAAACAGACAGACAAACAAACAAACAAACAAACAGACAAACAAAGAAACAAACAACAGAACAATGAATGACACTAAGGTTGGACAACTCACCTCCTCAGAGTTCCTGTTCCGGAACCGGAACCAGGGTCCGCCCTCCTCCCGCTGATACTCTAGGAGGTACTCCGTCACAAACTCCTTGCCCTGGGGACACGGGTCATCATAATAATGATAATAA